CCACCTTAGCTTAGTGGCTCAGAGATTTGTTTTTCAACCAAGAGGTCCTAGGTTCAAGGCCTTTCATACATGTGTTGTTGCAGGCGTGAAAAAACAAAAAAATTATGTACTTTGGTCAGCTATTTCATAGCTTAATTTTAGCAATCAAAACTTTAGGACCTATGTCCTATAATATAGTAAAAGGAGTCATGATTTTAAATCTTTCACTTACCATTTATCACACTCTTAAAAAAAAAAGTCAATATATATATATATATATATATATATTGTGCCACTACCTACTCTTTTATTGGCAAAGTTTGTAAGACTGCTAGGGTCACGAGTTCAATCCCGTTTATATGCAGAATGAAATTTTCAAGTACATGAGGTTGGTCTTGGCAAATTTTATTAATATATGTATGTATATGTATATATATTAATGTGATGCATTAAAATGAACCGTGAATGAACAATAAAAACATTTTTCGTAACTCATCAAACATATATAGATGCCAATGGTTCTTTTAGTTGCTTGAAAATCAATATATTTTACAATTATATTAATTTCCTTAGATTTCATCATTAGATGGATGAAACTAAAAGGTAGAATTGGCTTTCAAATCTCTAAGAGTATGTCCTTTTTATTTTCGTGGGATTTACATACATAGGGCATCGTTGCATTGTTGCTGCTCCTGTAAATGCTCTTGTTGCCACACTATTTTGGCTGTAAAAAATCAATGGATTTGATGAACTCAAATTTAGCCCAATTAATACTTGAACATTTTTCTTGAAATTCATCGCTTAATTAATTAAATTTGAACGTAGTGTAATTCGCTTGTTGATGTTTACAAACAAACTAGCTTGTTAGTTTGTTGTTCTACAACTTGTTAAATGTTTCATATTATCTAAATAAAATTGGATTTATTAGAACATATTGAATAATATATTTACCAGTAAAATATTATAATTTAATATTAATACACACGTAAATTTAAGATTTCTTTTTTTCTATACATTTAAAATTAATAAAATTTGATATATCTTTTTTTAATATATATAACATACTTTAATAAGTAATTATTAAGTGCATATATGTGGATCATAATTTTAATTAATAATTAACATAAACTTAAGAAAGTTATTATTCAAAATATATAAAATACATCATTTGACTGTTAACTTGCGAGCTCTTCTATATCTTACTTTGTATGTAATTTTTTCACTATTTTATTCTCCTTTTAATGTTAAAAATAATGGAATATTTACATAAAAATCACTCAATTCTTACGTATTTGAATTTCTAATACCTAAATTTTGATTTTTTTTACATACAAAAGTTTATTTCTAATGCCTAAATTCTTATGTGATATGAAAGATTTGGGTTATATAAATGTATATAATAAAGTTTTGGTGTTAGATATGTAAATACATATAAATTTTGTGGTCCTTCGGTAAATTGCCCCAATAAAGAATGCTAAGTGTCTCACATTCTCACTTTTACCTTTAGTCTCGCATCTAAGGGAGAATATTAAAAACATACCACTCTACCAATATGAGATTTGAGGGGTTTTGTTGGTATACAAGTTGGTGCGAGCTCTACTCGCTATCGAAGATGTGCTTTTATCATTATGGTTGTTAACGATCTGATTTCAAGTCAAGCTGGGGTCTGCTAAAAAAAATAAATTTGATTCAAACTTTCGTTCCTAGCTGGGCTCCTTTATTTCAATTGGAGCCAAAATTCAAATAAATTTTCAGGCGATTAACAATCTTTGAGCTAAATTCATTAGATTCACAGCTCTAACATTATCACTCTTGTCAATGATTTGATTTTAAGCCGAGCTGGGGTTGGCTCAAAAAAAATTTTGATCCAAAAGCTCTGAAATTTTAATCAATTTTCAAGCAATCAGCCATCTTCGATTTAGATTCACAGCCCTACCCAGCCCTCTTCTCTCGCTTTACTTGTGCACAACCAATACTTTGATCTCTGCAGCTTTCTCTTGTCCAAGCGAACACAAGTCGCAGGCAAGGGAATTGGCAGTTGAGCACAAATTGGCTTAAAACCATTATCGAGGTGTAATATTTAAAATTTAGATGTGAAATATGTAAAATTCAAATGTTTGTGTGCTATGCCCTGTCTGAGCATGCTCGAACTCTAAACGAGCAACGAGCTGAACATAATATAACTAAATTTTTAAGCTCGTGTTCGGCTCCAAATATATATATATAACATTTATAAAATTAAATATTATAAATTTTATATAATTAATTTTTATACAAACACATTTCTTAGAAAAAATATTATTTTAATTTTATTTAATAAATTAATTATTATAATAATTTTATGTTCTAACAAGTGAATTTCGAGCCGGACATTAATTTGAATAAAATTTTGAGCTGAACATGAAAATATTGTTCACGAGCCATTTTGAATACGAGTCAATTTCAAATATGAGCCGAACATGAGCAAAGCCTTAGTGCAGCTCTATATGTACGTACCTAAATCCTTCTTTATTTTTAACTGAAAATGAAATTATCTTTTAAGAAGTCGCGATCATTTATTAAATTAGATTTAGTTGCAAGTCAGTGTTGATTATGTTTCACGGCAGGTTCTCTCAAATTTATGATTTCATTTCATGCAAAAAAAGGAGGAAATATGTTAGGGTTGTATGCATGTATAAAGGGTTGTATGCATGTATATTTATTAGCCTAATTTCCAAACATTCAGATTTATATTTATAATAATTTTTTGGGACCTTGCACGTAATTATGTTTTTTTTTTTCTAAAATGATGTTATGTATGAGAAAATATATTACATCAGGAGGTCCTGATGTAAAACTGGATCAGGATTCTAATCACAATACGTCACGTACGGTTTGACCCAACTGAATAAAAAAAAACTAAATAGTTTAATGCATATCGAGATCACCCAAGCCGTAGTAGTGAGTTATAATGACATCCATAGGGTGTCAGGGGCTGAAGCCGATAGCTGCACGAGCGTATGAGAGGTGCATCATTACCCCATCTTCGAGATATGATGTTGTAGTGTCTTTATGGTGCGTTGTTGCGCTGATAGCCTTGTATTCTGGATGATGCCTCGCTTAGCAGGTCGCTTCATGACTCTGTGGTGTCAGTTGTTGCTTCGCACTATGCTTCAACGCAAGGAGTGGGCAGCGATCATTGGTGATGGCGGTGGCCAAGGAATGACGGTCGACGGTGGTTGATAGTGGTCAGCAGCTGTAGGAGTAGGAGGCAACTTTAGCTCCTCCAAGCTTTAGCCTTCTTTAGACTTCAAGCTCTCTCCCTTCCTCAGGAGAGAGATAGGGGTTTATTTGTAGAGTTCTGATGTAATTAATGAATGAATATGAACTACTCTAATTAGACGACACAAAAAAATTCTCTTAGTCAGACGATATTTGATAGACATTTTAGTGTTTTAATGATGACAAAATTGAGTGGTCTTGAGCTAATTGGATTCATCTTGTCGAGACGTTTGATTCGACTATAACCTCGCCAGATTCGACACCCTTTTGACTTTTCAAATATGCCTGCAATGCTTCCCCTCGCCAGATTCGACGCCCTTTTGACTTTTCAAATATGCCTGCAATGCTTCCAAAAGCAGCTTAGTGGATTGATTGGGACCAAATTTGGCTCGAATTAGACTAATTTTGGCACCATTGTTCGTCTCATCAGGCTGGTTAATTTGAGTATAAGTTTTCTGAAATCGGAAGACAGCCTCGGAAGAGTGCCTTTTAATTGAAGTTTAAATATTTCTTGCTCAAAAGATCGCCTCAATATCAATATCATATCTCTAGATTCGTGTCGAATGATGAGAATTTATTGATTGTGTATCACTAAAATTCTTTTTCTACCACTTCTATATTTTCACTCAAATATTAAAATTTGTGGTAAAATTTTGTCTTTTTTTTTTTTTGCTTTTGCCAAATTACCAATGATTTAAATATGTCATGGATAAATACATATCTTCACTAGAGTACTTATTTTACAAATAGATATGTAATTTATGTATTATTTAAATTATTTTATTAAACTATAATTTTCATAATTAATCTATTGAATCCAAAAGTGTCCGGGAGACACGCCACGAAAAGGAGTGTGAGGAGAATAGAGAGAGCAATAGCACAATATAGAATAGTAAAATTTTATAACATTTATCCAAGAAGTGAAATCCCTATTTATAGGGATTGAGAGTGTACAATTTACATTATGTACCCCTAAAATTCATAGATACAACATCGACATTTTTGTTAGAACATAAACATAGGCCTAGGAGCTTTGGGAGGTGCCCGGCCGGATCGGGTACCTTAGGAGGCATCCAACTGGTTAGAGCCGGGAGCCCATGATGGCTCCCGTCCGGTCTTTTTAGTGTCAAGTGACCATTCACTAGGAACCCAGAGGCTTTTAATGACAAGGCGAGGCTTGAAATTTTGAATCTTCACTGGCGGATCCCAGGAAGCCACATCATCTCTTTGTCGGTCATCAAATTCCTTTAAGATTAGTGCATTTTGATGTAGATAATCCACAAAAATTAATGATAAAATAATCCTCCCTTTAACGGTTAAACAAATTAACCGAATAATCCAAGCGTGAAAGCTCGCTGTCTATCACCACCAGTTGCAGGAGGCAGCTTCTTCCTCGATGCCTGCTTGTCCATGCCGATGCCCATCGTCCGCACACTTCTACTTCCGGGCAGATCAACTCTCCCTTTCAGCCATTATATCGAACAGCTTGGCGGCACAAAAAAGTAATCAATTTCCGTTCCCGCGACGACGACCCCGTCTCCAACCCCTCGCTCCCGTCACCACTCTCTCCTCCTTTCTTGCCACGCAACAGAGCCCAGCGTCATTAAAATTCTCAAACCTCTGTTTCTTTACCTTCATGGAAGGCCCGCACACACCAAAACCGGTGACCACATCCCATCTTACTCCCATCTCTCTCCCACCATAAATACACACCTCAAAAACTCTCCTAACTTCATCAAAGCATCCACTTTTAGAACGCCATGGCAAGCGAAGCCATCTCCGCCCTTGATCTCCTCCGCAAACACCTTCTCGGCGACGCAGCCGATATACTAACCGGACTAGATTTTCCCCCGCAGCCGCAGCCGCAGCCGCCAGCGACGGCGGGGGCGGGAAACAACCCCATCCCCCGGCGGAACCCATCCCTATCCCCGGCGATCTCAGCATCTCCGACTACCTCCAAGACACCGACACTGATCCGCGAGGCACCGGGTTCAGATTCCAGGAGCCCCCGCAGACGATGATCCGATTCGGCGGCGACATGTTCGATGTTGGTCTCAAGCTCAATGTCCCTCGCTCCGCCGCTCCGAAGGTGGAGTGGATAGACGGCGTCGTCTGCGAGAAACGGGAGCCGGAGGTGTTCGACGGAAATCGGTACCGTGGCGTGAGGCAGAGACCGTGGGGGAAGTTCGCGGCGGAGATCCGCGATCCGAAACGCCGGGGATCTAGGGTTTGGCTTGGAACGTTCGATACCGCGGTGGAGGCCGCGCGGGCGTACGACCGCGCCGCTTTCAAGATGCGAGGAAACAAAGCGATTCTGAACTTTCCGAATGAGGTCGGTGGCTCGGAGGATTGGGTTCAGCCGCCTCCGCTAGCGCTGCCGGAGAAGAGAGGGAGAGTGGAGATGAAGGGGGATGGAGGGAGGGGTGTGAAGAAGGGTAGATTAGAGGAATCAGAGTGGAATATTCCGGCGGCTGAGCCGCTGACGCCGTCGCTGTGGTCGGGGGTTTGGGAGGGGATGGACGTGAAGGGGTTCTTCGACTTGCCGCCGCTGTCTCCGCTGTCTCCACATCCTCAGCTGGGGTTTCCTCGGCTGACTGTAATTTGAATGTTAACGGCGGGCGTTAATTGCAGAAATTAATTATTGTTGCGAATTGTTTAATATTGTAAAAAAGGGTTTGTATATGTGTCGATTGGAAAAGTCGGACGTGACTCAGTGGCAAGGCCTGTAATTTCACACGAAATGAGAGGTGCTTTGCAATGAGTTAAGGTTACCACCTTCTTGATTGACATATATATGTATGTATGTATGTATGTATGTATGTATGTATGTATGTATATGTATGTATGTATATGTATGTATGTATGTATGTATGTACGTATGTATGTATGTATGTACGTATCATTCGTTTCATTGTTTTTGTTAGTAATTTGTACAATGGTGTGTAATAACTATAATTCATTGGTTCTTAAAGGCTTTCTTTATTCTTATGTAAAAATGTGAATGTTTTGTAATTTGGATTAATATCATTTCTTGTATATTTGTGAATATTTTTTGAGAGAAACTCAAGTCAGGATATGTTATTCAAATTTGAAGAAAATGTTTATGTAATTGTTGGAGTTTATCTGAGTCAATTTTAATAATTATGAATCATAGTCATTTTAAAATAAATACAGCCTCGAAAATTAATATGGATTTGTAATATTATTCTCACAAATATTTTTCATATATGTTTTTATTAGGAACCTGCAAAGCTTCTGAAAGTTATGGATGAGAATGTTAATTTTTAAGTGTTATGCATATGATGTATCTTTTTATTGGATAAAGAATGTTTTGTAATATGGATTAATATCATTTTCTCGAAGTTCGCTTATTCTAATGAATATTCAATGACCAACTAATTTTAGTTAGCCTCATCATAAACATACTAGGTTTCCTATTTATCATAGCGAACCTCTTTATGATTCTAATCCACGTCTTCCTAATCTTAGTCGAGATTGTCTCGTGATTCTAATCATCTTCTTTATCTAATCCTAATTAACATCTTCATCTAATTTTAATCAATCTCCTCAACTAATCACACCATTCTTCTTCAACTGAATGTTTGACAAGATCAATCAGCAAAGTTTTCAAAGATTAGGTTTTAAACATTTAAATTCTAATATTTTATGTGCAATCCATATAAATACATATTTTCACAAAAGAAAGATGAATAGCCTTATAAAACAAAAATCAAAATGATACTTTTTCAAAAAATTTATTAGCTAAATGATATAACTAATTTGTCGTAAAAAATTTGTCTAACCATGCAAATTTTAGCATAGATTTTATAGGTAGAGTTTCATAGATTGGCTCAAAACTTATGCGAATTCACTTTTCAATAACTAATCATTGAGAAAGAAAATTTAACGAATTAATAGCTAAGATGAAATGAGTCAATGAGATGAAGGCAATGCCAATAACAGGTAAATTCAAATTCAAATGGATCTAAATAAAGCACTTTAAAAAAATAAAATACTTCCTTAAAATTTGTAGATCAAAAGTTTTTAACTCGAGCATGTTTATTACTTTAATAAGTGTTTCATTGAGAAGAATCAAATAGACCAAATATTACTCAATTTTAATATCTTTTTTAGAATAAAATATTTAAAAAATACAATATAATCAAAGAAAATATATTTAGAATGCCTCATAAAGCATTCATTTTTAGCATAAATAATAAAAAAATCACTCCAAAAACTTTCAATAGGTCATACTCTTTCGTATTTAGGGAGAACTTTAAATAGAGTGAATTCATTTATTAAGCAAATTCTAGAACTCCAACCATCATTTGGAACCCTAACTATTCTTCTTTGGGATCTTCATGCCCCTATTTATGCACTTAGTTTTTCCTCTAAATAAGAAATAATCTATATTTGATTGCCTTCCAATGCCTGAATTTTTCCAATCATCTATAGTATTTATGAGGATGACCTACACCTTTTCTTTCTTATATATTTTATTCTAAGAAAACTTTGTGGAGATATGAGTATATCCAAAAAATGGGAGGCAAGATGGCATTTTCCAATAGAAAACCTCACACAACATTCTCTTTTATGTATATATCTTAGAATTGGATTGTATATTGTAAAGCTCAATTGCATTCTTTTAAAGAGTTTATTGCAAAACCAAAATGTCATGTTTTCTTTACATATATGTGCACTAGCAAGTGCAAGTTTTATCTAGGCTTTTTGCACGATATTGTGATCGACTTGAAACTTATTTCTTTAGGCCCTTGAAATGTTATATAATTTATCTTAAAATTTAAATAAAATAAAATTGATACTAGATAATTGATCTTATCAAAATTTAATATTGAATTTTCTCTACATCAAGTTTGCAAACTTTTAATGTTGACGTTCAAAACTCTATCTAAAATGAGAAGAGATTCTTGGTTCATAAGAAATAAACAAACTGAAAGTAAAATCATATTATACCTAGTTGAGATTACACACATTTCTTTTGGCCTTCTTTTATCAATATTTAGAGCTAAATAATTTCTTCTCTTTTACTTAAATATATTGTAACTATAATATTTAGAGATCTTAATTTAATTGAGCTTCTTCATATCATAAGTTCAGTTTTACTTCCTCATAACATATTGTGTTTATTTTTCTTTACTCTTTAAATACTCAATAAACTCTAGATACTACAACAAGCATTGGTAGCAAAATTGAATGACTCTAAAAAATTTATGTGCTCAATGTGTGATTTTCTCTCTCATTCTTTTTCTTATAACTTCTTATGAACTAACATATAAGCAAAATGAATTTTTACTCTTTCATACATGCATCTTCTTATTGTATCTTCTCTGAGTGATTTGTTATCCATTTATTTAGCACTATATGTAGAAAATAGATCTATTTTGGTTAGTGAAAAGGTGTCATGATAATAGAGAATCATAATAGTCATAATTCTAAATTACATGCTCAATTTGACAACCTTTCATCCAAATAATTTTTCTAATAAATATGAATTCATTACCTGAGATCACATATAAGCTCGTCATGATGTCTTTTGTTAACTGGTCACCAATCTAGTAAACATTGTTCAAAGTTTTTTCCCCCCACATCAATTGCCCAACTCATTCACCCATTGAACAATGGGAAATCTATTAATGTGAGTTACACCTAGTTTCATCTGCTCTTTTTTTTTTTTTCATATGTCCATAATTGTCACCTCATCCTTAGGATTCCTTGAAGAATAATCTTACTGAAGTCTAGGTCTCCCAATTTGAGATGCATTGGGGATCACTATTGACCCCTTTTAAGAATCAAATGGTCTTCAAGAAATCTTATTATTATACAAGATAGTTTACGATTGTAAATTTTTTTATGAATGCTACGAAGAGTTGATTTAATTCCTTATCAATTTTCCTCGTAAGTTACTCCAACTATTTTTTTCTTACTTGTTTCTATCTCTATTTACATTTTTGCATAGGTCTTTCAAACCCTTCCAATCACTATTCTATTGCTTTAAGTGCAGAAATGAATTTCTTGCATAAACATAAGACCAAGTTAAGATAAGACTTCTCATAACTTAATTATCAGAGATAAAAATATTGACAAATCTATTTATTTTTTGGTCTTTACTCTAAGTAAACTTATATTGTCAAAGTAAACAACTCTTTTATTATTATTGAGGACCTTCCATAAAAATTCATAAACAATGAAAAATTTCTCCATAAAGCCAAATAAGTCCAGCCCAGTTAGTTGTTAATTATAATATTGATTGAAGTCAAGAATAATTCTTTTTATACCCATTTACACTAAAATAGTTCAAGAACCAACCTTTCTAGCCAAGAATTTTGCTTTATTATAAACCCTTCCATATTATACTTTGAAGCTCGGCCTTGTCATCTCTTAATTGAATTTGAAGTATATTATTCTCTCCTTTGAGCTCGTCTAGTATGACAATCATACCTACAATCAATAAATATGAGTATTTCAAGTGGCATAGCCCAATGCACAAGAATTCAATTTCTAAGATAAGGTTCAATTTTGCATTTTCATAATGACTACGGAGTTCAGGAGTGCTGCATATCAAACTCTTTTATCAAAAGACTTTTCAAGAAGGGTCTCTTCAAAGATTATTTGGTCGATCATTATGTCAAGAAATATCCAAAAAAATATTAAATTTAAGATTTGTATGTAGTTTAATTTATATGTATCGAGAATATATTATATATTTATTATAATTTGATTATATTGTTGAGCATTTTTTTTTAAATAGGGTGTGCCTACCGCTAAGGTGGTTTGTTGTGTTAAATGAGTTCTTAAGGCCAAGTTTGTCGAATTCCGATGGTTGAGTTCGATAGGCGGACTTTTAAAGGTCAGCCGAGTTTTAAGGGTTGAGTTTCAACGTCCGAGTTTTAGAGGTCGAGTTGCAGTGGGCAAGCTCCAAGTAGCGAATTTCAAAGACCAAACTTCAGGGAATGAGTTGACCGAGTTCAAAATATAAACTTTATATTCTTGGGATACAGATTTCATACATAGCTGCATGAAAGTGATGATTTTATCTTAAAAGAGTTATGCAAATTTCATTATTCGATCTTCCTGGGCTTTAATGTCTTGTATTTTTATGTAAGTTTTAATTAATCCTTGTCAAATCTTATACCAAAAAAATAGAAAGAAATCCCAAAATCTATAAATAGGGGATCTAAACTTTAGAAAATGTATTCACTTTTTTCTCAAGGGGTAATCTTTGATGAACTCATGTAAAAATAACATCTCCAATTCTTTAGAGGTTGTTTGTCTGCACTTGGAATTTACATTAAAGAGAATTTAGCAATTCATGTAAATCCAGAATTATCAAATCCTGATATTATTAAATCCAAAATAGTGTTTGCTTCAGCTGAAGTTAAATTTAATAAACTCTTTAGACGTGTATGACATTTTATTTCAGAATTTAATATCATTTATTTTCTTCCCAAGTTAAATCCGTCAAATCCATCAAATAGTCGGATTTAATAAATCCAGATTTACACATTTAATAGTATTTATGTTAAATATAAATATAATCATAAATCCTCTTAAAAATACACTACCTAACATTCCCTTAGACTGCCCCGCTTCTGCCCTCATAAATCCAACCATTAATCCGAAAATTATTGAGTGTGAACACCGCACGCAAAATTTGTGTGCACAGTCCAATCTGCACCGTCCAAGGGTCTGTTTGGGACAACTACAGCTTATTGAATAATTTATTGATAAGTTGATTAAAAATAATATGCCGATAAGCTAGGCGCGGTGATTACTATAAATTTTTATTTTTTTTGGAAAAGTCATACCGTAGCAAGAAAGCTGTCATCGCACCTAGATAGGTGCGGTGTGAAAACACTGTTTCCAGCGTCTTGAAAACACATAAGCTGCCGAAACACAGTTTACCCAAACAGTCCAGGTGCGTTTTCAAAACGCCACCGCACCAAATAAACTGCCCCAAACAAATTCTTAGTTAAGCTTGTTCTTAATATTTAACATGTGATATTAATATTAGGGGCAATTACATTCATACCAACCAATTATCATGTATTTACATATCTAACACCTAAATTTTTGCTTTTTATATTTATACCACCTTGATCTTTCATATCTCATCAATGACACTATCATTTTAATTTTTAAAGAAAGAAATGCATCTTTTCAGGCAAAAATAAGATTAGTTTTGATACGCCACTACCAAATTTTCATCTTCCGACACGAATTTCGACGCAATATTTTGAGCAAGAAATATTCATATCTCGATAAAAATTCATCTAGAGCTCCGATTTCAGTAAACTTATAGTCAAGCTGACTGGCTCGATGAGAAAGACCCAATAATATCAAGGTTAGTCCAATGCAAGTCAAATCAAACCCAAATCAAACGATTAAATCATTCTTGGAAGATTTCTGGACACATTTGAAAGATCAAACGAATGTCGAATTCAACAAGTTCATAGTCGAATCGAGCGTCTCGACAAGACAAATCCACATTCTCCACGTATACGCTGCGGCAAATAATCCCCAATTAATTATCCTTCCCTAAAATCGAACCCTAGCTGTTCCCCACCATTGTCCCCATCCCGTCACCCTCCTGTCGAAACCTTCCCGCACAATATTTCTCAAACTCATCTCTCTTCCCCTTCTCCGAAATCCCCGGTGCCCAAACCCCATCCTTAAATAAACCCCTCATGCCCTCTTCTCCTCCATCAAAATCATTCTCTCTCCCAAAAGTCTCTGCTCCATGGCAACCCTACCCATCTCCCCTCTCGACCTCATCCGCGAACACCTCTTCGGCGATCCCACCGACATCCTATCCGAACTATTGCCGGAGTCCGGCGATCTCACCATCTCCGATTACCTTCATGACATCGACGATGATCCGCGAGGCACTGGATTCCGATTCCCCGAACCCGCGCAGAAGATGATTCGATTCGGAGGCGATCGGTTCGATGTTAGCCTCAAGCTCGATGTCCCCCACGCCGCCGCTCCGAAAGTGGAGTGGATAGACGGCGCCGTCAGTGGGACACGTGCGACGGACTGCTTTGACGGAAACCGTTATCGCGGCGTGAGACAGAGGCCGTGGGGAAAGTTCGCGGCGGAGATCCGCGATCCCAAGCGCCGGGGATCTAGGGTTTGGTTGGGAACGTTTGATACCGCGGTGGAGGCCGCGCGTGCGTACGACCGCGCCGCGTTCAAGATGCGTGGAAGCAAAGCGATTCTAAATTTTCCGAACGAGGTCGGCAGCTCGGAGGATTGCGTTCCAATGCTGCCGGAAAAGAGGGGGAGAGAGGAGATGGAGGGGGGAGAAGGGAGGGCGGTTAAGAAGGAGAGATTGGAGGAATCTGAGTGGAATATTCCGGCTGAAGAACCGTTGACGCCGTCAATTTGGTCGGCCGTTTGGGAGGGAACGGATGTGAAGGGGGTTTTCAGCTTGCCGCCGCTTTCTCCACTGTCTCCTCTCCCGCAGCTGGGGTTTCCACAGCTGGCGGTTATTTGAAAGTTAACGGCGGGCGTTACCGTTGATTGAAAATTAGTTTTTTGTTGTGGATTTTTAAATATTGTAAAAATGGCTTTTATTTTGTAAGATAATTAAGTGATTGGCAGGCATTATATATTGAACTGTTTTAGAAGGAAAAACCAAATGGGGGGCATTTACACACACATACAACACGATTCCTATGCATTTACATATAAAAATATCATATTTCTTACATGCTGCTCTCAACTTACTCATGTGTATAGTATTTTAATAAAATGTTAACATGATAAATTCTCTCAAGTCTATACCTTCTATTCCATATTCAATATATATGAGGAAGGAAAAGCATTTTTAAGATTGTATTTTATTATCATATATTTTCACTACAGACTAAAATATAATATATCAACTTTGAGAGAAACAAAATCACTCAGATGCATCAATAAGTATGGAGAAAATGTTACACGGATAATCAGACGATAATATAAATCACTCCACATAGTTTGTGCAGTGACATGATGTAATTCATACTATCACCCGAATGACAATAGACGTAATATTCTCTTCCTAATATGACCTGAAGTTTCATAGTCACGAGGGAGTATATGCATGTGCCATGGTGTGCTAGAAGCACTATGGCTGATTTATGCTAAATGTTAGATTTTCTTGTGGATGCCGATATGCCAATGGAAACTAAGAAAATGGATGAAAAATATGTTATTTTTGTGAATAATTAAATGTCATTTAATGTTCTGTAACAAATTATCATTTTAATTGTCACAATTTCTAATAAGATATGGCATATCTAGCAGCTAATGCATTTATTAATTTACCAAGCCAAAATATTTATAGTGTAGATAACTAAATCAGAACTACCGCGAAGAAAAAAAAAATGCATTAAGGTATGAAGTTGCTCCCATTCTATCTGGAAGACTCACACGATTACTTGATGATTACCTTTATTTTACGGAAATTAATGCATACAAACATCTATATATACAACAACAACAACAACAACAACAAAGCCTGAATCCCGCTACGTAGGGGTCGGCTACATGAATCATTTTTCTCCATCACGTCCTATTTAGTGTCATATTTTCATTTAGTTCTAGTAAATTAAGATCACTTTTAATACAATAAGCACAAGTCTTCCTAGGTCTACCTCTGCCTTTCTTAACAAAAGTCGAATCTAAAACATCGTTAAGTAATCAGATATGTATTTTAGCATGCATCAAAGCTTCTATCTTATACGAATTGCTTAATATGCATGGAGAAAATGGCGTACGTAAGCGTTGCATGGAATGATTTTACGTACTCAGGTATTTAGGATTTTGCAAATATATGTTTTCTTCAAAAAAAAAATTACAAACAACCCTCACGTCCTTTATATTTACATATCTGACACTTAAATTTAATTTTTACATACATAGCGCCTTACACACCCTTGAAAGATGTACTTTACATACAAAAAATATATATAATAATATTTTTTTATGTGATAAATAAATTTTGGTGTAATAAATATAAAAGGTGATGTTGCTCGTGTTAAAAAAATTAAAAAACGGATGTACTTTATTTTTTACGTGGTAAATAAGATTTGTGCTTGTTCCTACATAGATACCCTAAAAAAATGAGAAAATATTACGATCGTCATTCAGATATATGAAAGACGTTATGAATCTTACCATATCATGTACATAACAGTGTGATGTAATATACGCCGTCGATCGCACGTCTGATTTACTGGGCGTACCATTTTTTCCCTAAATAAAAAATAGTGCCCTAAAAATTTCCAAGGCCGGCCACTTCAAATATTTGACGTACGGATGCATGCTATGTATCCAACAATAAAGGAAGTAAACGTGAAGCTTCGTGATGAGTTTTGTCAACCCTCACTCAATTTTATGTGTGGTTTTATTTATTGGGCAGGACCAAGTGTATAGATGAGCCAAAAAGATCAGATCATAGCTTACATAATTACTTGAGGTTGACTCATGTGAGAAAAATTAAAAGCCGTGGGGTGGTTGGGGGACTTCTAATTGCACACATATATTTATAATCATATTAATATATAATACATTAAACTCTTAAATCTGAATTTTAGGAGAGGCAGTTGAAGTTTAATCAAGGAAACTAGCTTTTGGACTTCATATTAGTATATATATAGATTTTTTGTTCTAGGATGGAAGGTAATAATTTGTTTGAATTATGATCGCAAATTCAATTTATTATAAACATTGAAATAAAATTTGCACAAAACATATACGACTTTTTTTGTTTTAAAATAAATAATTTTATTGATATAGCTATTTAATTATTTGTTTGAATGACGAAAGCAAATTCAATATATATATATATATATAAAAGTATGACACGAATCTCGAGATAATATTTTGCGCAAGGGATATTCAAAAATTGATAAAAACTCAACCAGGTCTCTGATTTCAGCAAACTTATAGTCAAACTTACAGACTCGATGAGACGGACCTAAAAATATCAAAGTCATTCCAATCTGAGTAAAATCAAGCCCAGATCAAGTCATCAAACCATTCTTGAAAGATTTGTGGATACATTTGGAAGGTCAAACGTTTGTCGAAACTGTCAACTTTATAGTTGAATCAAGTGTCTCAACAAGACGAATTCAATGAGCCCATGATTGTGCAGTTCTGACTTTGTTAAAACACTCAAATGTCCATTAAAAATTGTTTGATCGAAGGAAACTTACGGACCGTCCGATCAAAATGATTCATATTTATGCATTAATTTCACCCGTAATACTATAAATAGACCCTCACTCCTCACATGAGGAGAGTTGAAGTCTATAGAGAGTTTGATGCCTTGAGGAAAAGCTGCAACTCAACATCACCATTGATCATCGTCGACCACCACCCACCTCAGTCGTCGACCACCGCCGACCGTCGTCGACCACCACTAACCACTATCAATCACCACTAACCAGACATCGTCAATTGACATTGTAATTTGAAAAATATAGTTACTATTTCTCATCTGTGGGACAAGGGATTTTTGTAATCATCAATTAATAGTGGATTTCGCAACTGGGTCAGACCTCGTGGTTTTTCTCTTACGGGTTTTTCATATAAAAACTTCTGGAGTCATCATCGATTATTTCTCTTTCATCTATGTGTGTGTTGAACTTTCGTATAATGTTAAGATGATAGTCCGTTACTCTACCGCCGTGAATTTTCTAGCACACATCAATATATATATATATATATATATACATACCGCCCTCATTACTGGCAAACTGAACAGAGAGGGATTCGAACCCTTCACTTGAGAGGACTTACGAACTTCAAAGAGACTGCTCTGCTAACAGGCCACAACTCATATATATTACTTTAAACCATATTTATGTACGAAGAAAAAATATGATACATCTCTTTTGAAGCCAAATAGAATTATTTAATTCATATATGAGTAGTTCTCATCAATTTATATAAAATTATATGTCTTATATTGATTGTCCATGTTGTATTTATCCTTTTTATATGTCTTCATTTGTTATTTATTAAAAATTCTTATTATATATGTCTTATATTTATTGTCCTTGTTGTCTTTTTGTATGTCTTCATTTGTTATTTATTAAAAATTCTTATTTTATCCCGATAGTATTTGAAGGTAAGAAACATTTAAACAGCCCAAAAGAAAATAAAACCACAGATTATTTCTTAAACATTAATAGGTTTAAATTTATGTTTAAATATCATACATTTTTGCCATTATCTTCTTACTTCAAACTAAAAAGTAACACTCAAGCTCATAAAAAAATTATGCCTTTATGTTTTCTGCTTAAATGCTTAATTAGCTATTCACACAAATTTTCATTTGAATTTTCAAACTCTTTTTTCTTTGCAAAAGCCACCCCAATCACATCAAACACGTAGAAATTTTCTGAAACTCTCAATTGATTCATGGACAAGGCCAGGACATATGACAATTGAGCCCAACGCCTTCGTCTTTGCTTACGCTTTTTCTCAAGAAAAAGCTGACAGAAACTTAAATTTATAAGTTTTGCCCTTCTGTTGTCTAATGAAAATTTATTTTACAAGGCCATTGAAATTGAATTTTTTTTCTGCAAAAAGCCAATTTTGGAGTCATTATGGGATGTGATTGTGTGGTTATGGATGAAGTAAGATTCCAACATTTTATAAACTTTAATTTGGCTCTACATATTAACCCATTCCCAGTCAAATAGATTTCATGACATGAATTAATCTACTTGCGCGTTTTGCTGATTATTATAATGGCTAATTAGGCTGTTCAGCATGCAGCTACAGCGGAGCTAATTGCAGTGTTTTATGAGAAACTGACCGGTTATGAATTCGTAATCTTTTTGTGTTTGTCTATCATGAAGCTTATTTTATTGAGTTTCTTAAACTTTTAATTTATCAAATCATGATGATGGTAGAATGTGATTGAGATTAGCATGGCTGTGAGTCGCTGATATAGACTAAAAATATTTGTGGTTCTTAGTTAATTATGTAATTAAGAATCTATTTTTTTTATTTGTTTATGAATTTGGTTAGAATATAACATGAATTTTTATGGAGTTAAAGATGCTAAACTAATCCTGTGAGTTACTTATTGTTGAATCTTATTAAGGACGGCCTGTGAGGTAATAAAACCAGAGAGAGACCCTATTTTTAGGAGGAAGGTATAAAAGAAGATTGTAGATATGTCTTCATTTTTGCAATACTTGGAAAATGGGTTCGAGAAACTAATTTGGAGGGCGGATCCACCCTTTTAGGTCAACCCCCTCCCTTCCCCCTCTTATGCATGAGAGAAAAAAAAGTTAAAAAGAATTATAATTACATCTCGCACGGTATTATGTCAATTCATGGTATTTCGGTAAAAAGATCGAGATGTGGGTTGCAGACAACGCCATAAAGAAAGATGTGCATATGTTCTCTTATGTAATGATGATTTTTTTTGGTTGAGGGTTTTCTTCGGGCTATTCAAATCACTTTGACAGATGGGCTTGGATTGACCACTTTAGCATTTGGGCTTAGTTTGTTATATGCGCCTCCAGCCCCCTAAGATCTATTGATTCTAACGTCATGTATAAACTTCTCTCGTATTTTGGTTTACACTTACAAGTAAGAGAGATCTTACCTGAAATGTCCAAGGAAGCAGCTTTTTCGCCCCGATCCTCTTCAGCTT